GAATATGGCTGCCCTGGGTAAGGCCAAGATGTTCATCTCCCTATAAGACCGTGACAGAAATACTCATCACAAATTTGGGGAATATCCTAGATCACTGGTGGCGAACCTATGGCACCTGTGCCAAAGACAGCCCTTGGAGTCCTCAGCCTCCAGCCCTGCCTCTCCCCATGGTGCCCTCCTCACCAGCAGCCTCCCCCGGAAAGTTGCCCCCCGGGCATGGCCCGCACTGAGCAGCGCAACCAAAGACATGGCAGTGGGTGTGGGTGGCTATGCCGATGCTGCTGCCGGGCAGCCCATCGTATGCCGATGATGCTGCAAGGCGCAGGCAAAGGGCATGGCTGCCATGGCACTGCTGGGGTGCCTGGTTGATGTGCAGCGGACCGTGGAGGTGGTGTGTGGCCCTGCGGGTGGGTGGGGCGGGGCAGGGCAGGCCGGAACGGGGCGGCGGAGCAGGGCAGGTTTTGGACACTCGGTCTCTAAAAGGTTCGCCATCACTGTCCCAGATGCTCCGTGGAAGGGATTGAGTAGATTGACTGATCCGTAGCAAAGCTTTAATCTGTTTTTTTTTTTTGGCTGAAAAAAAATTCTTTCTGTACAATCAGAGACTCTTAGATAATAATTTGCAGATATCACATCCTGGCTAGACAAATGAATTGTACCAAACCTGGAATACAGATTGGCATGTTTTTTGAGTGGTGGGGAAAGACACGCCACCTTAAGCTTCTAAATTCTAATCAGAATGTTAATTTTCTTTTTTTCCATGCAGATGATGTATCTGTGAATGAGAACGACAAGCAGGGAAGGTTAAATCTACTCCAAATAGCGAAGAATGAATTACAAGTACAAACCCTAGGCCATCAAAGTGACACCAAAAGGCTAAAGAGAAACGAGCCAGAAGATGGAGTGGAGAAGTCATCCACTTCTCTTCCTGTTGGTATTTGTGTCTTCCTGTCCCAGCAAGATCAGAGTGAAATGAGAAAAGGAAAATATAGAAAAAGAGAAAAGATGAATTTGAAGAATATAAATACGGTAGAAACTAGACTAGAGAAAATCTACAAGCCTTTAGACACTATGGAAAATAACTTCTTCACTTCTACTTCACCAAAAAAACTGTATAAGAAAGACAGATCATATCCCTCTGTAAATTCTGGGGGGGATTCCAGTCTGAGCAAAAAGAAGACATTGTGCATGCAGTGTGGAAAGTGTTTCTGTAGCAAAAGTAATTTTAATCGCCACCAAAAAATCCACACTGGGGAGAGACCATATAAATGCATGGAATGTGGAAAGACCTTTATCCAGAAAGGACATGTTAGTCTTCATCAACGGATTCATACTGGGGAGAGACCATATAAATGCACGAAATGTGGAAAGAGTTTCATTAGCAACAATAATCTTAATCGCCATCAAAAGATTCACATTGGGGAGCGATCATATAAATGCATGGAATGTGGAAAGACCTTTATCCAGAAAGGACATCTTAATCTTCATAAAAGGATCCATACTGGGGAGAGACTATATAAATGCACAGAATGTGGAAAATGTTTCATTAGCAACAATAAACTTAATAGCCACCAAAAGATTCATACCACAGAGAGACCACATAAATGCATGAAATGTGGAATGACCTTTACATGGAAAGAACATCTTAATCTCCACCGAAAGAACCACACAGGGGAGAGACCATATAAATGTATGGAATGTGGAAAGACCTTTATCCAGAAAGGACATCTTAATCTTCATCAAAGGATACATACTGGGGAGAGACCGTATAAATGCATGGAATGTGGAATGACCTTTATCCAGGAAGGACATCTTAATCTTCATAAAAGAATCCATACTCAGGAGAGACCATATAAATGCATGGAATGTGGAAAGACCTTTACCCAGAATGGAGATCTTAATCGTCACAAATGGATCCACACTCTGGACAGACCGTTTAAATGCACGGAATGTGGAAAGAGTTTCATTAGCAACAGTAATCTTATTTGCCACCAACGGAACCACACCGGGGAGCGACCATATAAATGTATGGAATGTGGAAAGACCTTTACCCGAAAAGGATATCTTAATCTTCATGAAAGGATCCACACTGGGGAGAAACCGTATAAATGCATGGAATGTGGAAAGAGCTTTACTCAGAAAGAAAAACTTAGTTGTCACGAAAGGATCCACACAGGAGAGAGACCTTATAAATGCATGGTGTGTGGAAAGAGCTTCATTAGCAACAATAAACTTAATCGCCACCAAAAGATTCACACGGGGGAACAATCATATAAATGCATGGAATGTGGAAGGACCTTTACCCGAAAAGGATATCTTAATCTTCATGAAAGGACGCACACTGGAGAGAGAGCATAAATTCATGGAATGTGGAAAGAGCTTTACTGAAAAAGAAAAACTTAGTCATCATGAGCCACATAATTCTGTCAGGTGTTTTTTTCTAAAGTGCCCAGCTTCTACAAGGGTTGTTTTTTTTTCTAAAGTGCTGAGACCAAGTGCAAATATAGCTTTAACATTGTAGCACCTTTGGTTGTCACAATGGCATCCACACAGGATAAAATTGGTGGAACCACCATCACTGTGTGTGCTTAGTTCTCATAAAATGATCCACACAGGAAAAATAAATGAAATCCGTGGATTGACCTTTATTCTCAGCAATCAACTTCATTTTCACCCCAGGATCCAGACATGGCAGAGAGCTTACTAATTCATGGAATGTGCAACAATCTGGCTTGTACTGGAATGTTATTTACCATCCATGTTGTTAGAAGAAAAAGGACAAGCGCTAGAATTTGGAAATTGCTGATGTTGGATCAGTGACCTTACTGATGCCTTTCTTCTTGAGGCCGAAAGTAAGACCCGGTCTTACTTTCTTTTGGGCTCTGAAATAAATACTAGGACTTACTTTCGAGTAGGGCTTACTTTTTGCTGGTACCAGCAAGCCGCAAGTGCGGGGGGGGCAGTGCGGGGCCTGTGCATGGGGTGGAGATGAAATGCAGTGACGAGATGGTGGTGATGGACTAAGTATCTGGGCAGATGGGGCATGTTCCCTCCCGTGGTAGACCAGCCTCTGCAACCCTGAGGCGGCCGTGCTGGGCGATGGCGGGAAGAGCGCCGAGGTGGTGATGCTCCTCCGGCTTGAACAGGTGGCCTTTGCCCCAGGGACCTGGGGAGGCCGCCTTCCTGGGCTGGCCAGGCCCTCCTCAGAGGTGAGCGGGGAGGTGGTAGCCCAGGACAAAAGCGCCAAGTGAAGCGCCTATCAGCGCCCGTGCTGGCTGCCCCTTCTCCTTGCAGGGAAACAAAAGAAAGCTCAATCAATTTCAAGTTCTAACCAAAAAAAAAATCTTGCGAAGTTGGGATTGATTGACCTTCCTCTCCCAAAACCTCGTTTCCCTACATGCGGCAGCAGAAAAAAATGAAGGAGAAATGGGGCGGGGCCAGAAGTAACGTAAGCAAAGACATGCAATTCCTGGGGGAAGCGAGGGCATCTGGGTGGTGGTGTGGCAAGCTCTCCATCTCCACGGGGAAAGAGCAATCGGCATGGGCGCTGAAGGCAGGATGCCCGCTTGCTTGAGCACTCTCACCAGGAAGGCGGACTCCGCAGACCCCCAGGATAAAGCCTCCCCCTCCAGGTGGAAAAGCGTCGGCCTGGTTGCTCTTACCTCAGCGTCCTTCCTGCCGCCGCCCATCACGGCCACCCCAGGGCTGCAGAGGCTGTCCTAGCAGGGGAAAGGCACACACCCCGCCCACACAGGTACTTGGTCCACGAAACAAGCCCAGTGGTGGTAAGGAACCAGTATACCATTGGTTAACAGGGCACGTGGATCAGATCTGCCTTCCCCTACCAGCTTTGCCTCGTCGTAGAGGCACTGGTATGTGGAAATGCCCCAGAAGATACCCCAGAACAAGACTGGGAGAGTGGGGCACATTATAAGAATGAGAGAAGAAATTCTCCCTAGTGTTCCAGAGGGGAGGGGACAAATACTTTCAGAGCTGCTGGATTTTGTCTTATGGCCTCACAGTAGAGGTAGAATTAGTATTCATTCGTGTGCATTTTGTTTGGAATAGCTCAAAGGGCTGACAAATGGTTCCTCCAATCAGGATTCCCAGACGTGGAATGCGGACCTCAACCCTGTATGCAAGGTGACTTCTGTACCCAACAATAGCCCTTCCCAAGGATACACTCAGAAAGATAGAGATATAAAACTTTTCCACAAGCACAAAAACCTCCAGCCTGCTTGGTCCTGCAATAAGGAACAGAGTAAGAATTGGCCAGGTGACTCCAGAGGAAGAATGATCCAAAATGTACAGTGCTATTTGGTGGTTCCCAGAGATCCCTTCGGACTAGTTTAACTGCAGGGCTGTTCCTCCTCTGCCTTTAAAGATGTTTAGATCTCGGATTCGGAGGGAAGAGCTTCAGGAAGGAAGATGTAAAGGAGACATCTAACTGGTGCCCACTAGCCGGCTTCTTGTCAGTAGAAACCATCAACGGCAGGAGGGGCATCTTTTCTCAGTCCAGAATCATACATTGCCCTGCTGGTTTTCTTGGATGCCCCCCTCACCCAAGGGGAGTTGTACGAAGGAAAATGTGGTGGCCTTGGAATGTATGAAAGAAAACGTAGCCTTTTTCATTTTTGGAGAAGGCTGAGGAGTGACCCTTGAGACTGGTCCTGTCCACAGATGATGAGGGGGGAAGCAGTCCCCCAAGAGAAAAAAGTGTCTGGACATAGGGCAGGGCCCTGTCGCTGGGCAGGTGATCAGTGGGGCGAAGCAGGGAGAAAGCTGCTGCTGCCATGGTGCACAGCGGCAGTGGAGCCCAGGCCTACTCCACCCATCCACTGTACGGTAGCATGGCAGTCCGGCTCGGGAAGGGAGTGAAAGGGAGCAAGGAATAGCCTGGCTGAGGGATGCTTGAAGGAAGTGGGTGTGGGGCGTGTGGGGCAGCTCCATTCGCCCCTCCACCTTCCTCGCCTCGTGGCGGCAGTGGCACGATTGTCACGCGCCTCCTGCCCCATTGCGGCAGGCAGGTTGGACGGAGGGGCCCAGGTGCTAATTAGAGCTTATTTTTGGAATAGGGCTTATATTAAAAGATAACTTAGTCCCCAACGAGATTGTGAAGGTGACGGGGCAATGGAAGAATTGCAGAAGAAACTCCCTAATTTTTTCAGAGTAAAAGGAGAGGAGGGAAGAAATATTTGCAGAGTTTTAGGATTTTGTATTGTGGCCTCACAGTAGAAATAGCGCTAGTATTCATTCTAGTGCTTCTTGTCTGAATTTAGCTCAAAAGGCTGACAAATGCATCCTCTAGTCAGGATTC